CCGGGAATCCGTGACTCGGCAAAAATACTATTGCTATTACGATAGTTGCTATTTATGGTCATTATTATATTTCTCTTCGATTTGCCTTGGTTCAATTTCCGTAAGATTAACACACATTTTACTGACTCGTTTACCTTCTTTCGAACGAATTATAATACTACGAATTATTCTAAATTCTTTCAATGGTCTTTATTTTTTGTGAATATTGTAACGATACAGACATAATAAGAACAATCATAAATAGACATAAACCCGCCATTTTTTAACATCGACAAGAAATAAAATTATATTACAAATTAATAGGTATTCTTAAATTATTTCTATTACCGATAGTAGAATAGCTGACATTTTCTAATTCAGCTATCCTCTCGCATAAGAAAAGAATTTTCTTCAAAGATACTCGATTGCTCAACGATCCGGAAGTCCAGAAATATATCCGAAGATACCTCAATCATTTACGACGCCGTTTGCGAGCGACTTTGAAGAATATCTGTTTAGAGAGGGCATTTCGACATTGTTTCAAGAGCCCACACGATCTGGTTTTCTCGTAAAGTCGGTCAACGCATCGCGCGAAATTTGGCGCCGAGCCTAGACCCAGTCTTGCGCAATTTACCATCATGTTAGATTCAAGGTTCCTCCGTCGCATCCTTCCTTCTGCCCGCATTGCCTTTGTGTTAATTACCAATTATCCAAGGCTACTCTCCCAAAGTTACGCGAGCAGAATGACTGATTTAACGCACAATTTAGCAAGCACATCTCTATCGTGAAACTAAAACCTTTAAGATCTGTTCTGTCCAAAAACTGTATAAATAGTGTTTTACAAAGTCTCTCCCTAGTGTTTTACAAAATTCATATACTCGTACTTTTTTATGTAATTACCGACAATCTGTTTTTTCGTACAATTGCCATAGCGTATCTTGGCATTTAATCCGGGAACGGTTACCTCATTTTTTTTTTTTTAACATAAACAGTCATCTGGAGTAATTTTTACATTCTAATTAAAAGTAATTAATTACATATTGCATATTGTTCTATAATTTATTAATATTTGAGGACCAATATGTGTATAGATTTATTCAATATTTTCAAAAAAAGTAAGAAAAAATCAAAAAATTATTTAAAAAACGAAAGAAGCACATTAAAATTACCGTGACGTGAGCTTTTTCAATACTGAGGTGTAAAAGTCACTCCAGGTCACAAGTGATCTGAGTTAAACTCTGAATTAGGTAATATCTTTTTGTAAATTGTGTAACCAAGCGAAGAATGAAGTTCTGTTAATTTGCCCAGACTTTTAACCTATGTTAAATGAAACTGTAATTAAGCTTCACAAAAGAACATATGCTCAATCCATTACACTTGCTGTTACAACACCAGGGCTGTCGTGCTGATCGCGATTGTTGCGTTGTTTTTTTTTTTTTTTCCATTCGACGAGCGATTTTGTCGGCGAGGAAAAGAAAACGGGACACAGCCGACTGGATACGTGATGCATTGGCTGGATTTTTCACGCGAAAGAACGTTTTCGCGAGGCTTTTTACGGAGGTGTAGCGACGATTTTGCAAGCGCGTGCGGAGACTCGCCGACTTACTTGGCGTCGCCAAGATAATGTAGGCACGCTCTCTCACACGCCGGCATATCGCGTTGAGTAACGTCAAATCGTGTTAACGACACAAGGACACGCGTACGTCTCGGCGGTTGTGTGCCGCGAGAATCACGGACTTTCCATTAAACGGATACGCACTCGTTCTTCGCGTAAACGCGGTTTCCCGACCGATCGACGGGATCGGTGTTATTCTAAGATTAGCGGGTGATTATTAACTCTTGTCGGAAACTGAGAGAATCAGAAAGGCGAAGAATAATATGGTATTTGACTTAACATAGATAATTTTTTTTTGTAATATAAACAAAATACTTTCTAATTTTATACTTACTTGAAACTACAAAAATCACGCGACATTTTTTTATCACGAACGTATTATATCTAACAACGTCGCATAATCGTTGCACGTATGCAACGATTTAATCTCAAGGTTGAGCGCTTTCATCAGTTGAAAAAGAAAAAGAATATTAGATTAAAGAGTATAACCGCTTTGTACAACACATCTCGCGTTATCGAGATTCTACGAAAATTGCGCGACAAGACAACTAAATTATCACGTATTAAGCTTGCAGAGTTTTAATACGACGACGTTACGACAGAGTTTGCGCCGCACGTGCGCAAATTTAATCGCGGGACTGATCGTCTTCAGCGCATGAGAAGAGGGGAAAAGAAACGCATAATAGCCGGCAGTTAGAATGTATGTACCTGCGTCCATTCGCGTTAACGACGCAAGGACAGGCGTAACGTCTCGCACGTTTCTAAATCGCCGGCAATCATGGACTTTCGATCACGGCCGCGTACGACGGGACAGAAACGTCAGTAACGTCTCACGACTCCAAACAAATTGGCAACCGTAATTTTATATCTTTAATGAATTAATTAAACTAAATTTAATTAGTTAATTAATTGAAATACGTAATTAAAATATTTTAATTAATTTATTAAATTAATTAAAGTACTTTCAGAAATCAATCTTTCTAATTCGTCCGACTGATTAGCTGAAAGCTCTTCTGATGAATTGTACGAATATACGTTTAAAGTAAAGGGGAGAAAGTGTGTGAAGCAGATTGTAGGAGAAGGCTTCACATTTCGGAGTGCCGATACATCTAAAGCCGCGGTAGCTCAATCAGGCCTTAACGTCGGGTCGGAGGCCCTCCGCGAAATCGGTTTCCTCTTTCGTTGGCGAATCAATAGCATCGCGGCGCGTTTGCGCCGATTTCACGGCGCTCACGGTGCCCACGCACGAAATGTGCGAGCGTAACCGAGCTGGATGTAATCGCGGGCCGTCACGGACCATTAAAGTTAGAAAACTGGCGTTAGATCGGTCGCTAACAAATCGCCACGCCGTGCCACGCCACGCCACGCCACGCCACGCCAATCCAACTCGGCGACCTACCTAGCGATTGTTACTAACGTGTCGCCACCGAATCGATTTGCGTTCACGGACCGTCGAGCAAGTCTCACAGTTTGTCTCAATTCCGCGCGCGAAATTCCGCGCGGACGTATATTATACGTTGATCGTGGCAACGAGTGAGCGATGCCGAACACGTTCTTTCGCTCCAAGCCCATTCGAAAAACGCGCTACTTAACATTAAATCTTCGATCTCACGACAAAAATTAAATGCCGTACGATTGTTGAACTTTTAATATAATTTTATTTTTTCCTAAACTCGCACACACACATAACGCACGATATTAAAAGAAAAATTCTTGTTAAAAAAAATATTTATTTTAGTTTATATTTTATCGTATTATTATTTCTATATTAAATAATACCAAGATCTCTTTTTCTTACCGTTTGGTAGACATTCTTATTAGGAGACATTCTCATTACTTGAGCAGCCGAGGGAAGGTTAAGGAAACTTAAAGTTTGCGCAAAGTAACGTGCCTTCAAGGACACAACGAGAGCCGAGCTCTCGTCACCGATCGTTACAAACAACTGGTCGATTTTAATTTTAGAAGTGCGTAACATCGAGGATGCGTGTTTACCGTCGCCGGTGGTTTCCTTTCACCTGACGAAAAAGAGTCGGTAATGGGAAAGAGAATAATGCAGTCGTCCTCGAGTAAATTCGTCGGCGATAGACGTTCTTATTATTAGGATCATTATTATTATTATTCTTCGCGAGAGATTCGCCAGGCTATCGAACCCACGTCCTTAACCTTTAACGCTCGCCCGGAATAACTCGGCGATATGTTTGTTTCCAGATTGTCTAGACGAAGCAGCGAATCGCACCGTCGCGATGCGCGTTGCATTAACTTTTTCCTCGTCGCATTATCCCGTCGCGTCAGAAGAAACACCGAGGAAACGTCTCTATCTGATCCTGTCAGATAGAACAACGGCACTGACATATTCCTTCAAAAATATCTACAAACGTCATATTTATATACATAAAATAAAAATATAAAAAAATCCGATACATCATATTTTTCGTAACATCAAATTCCAGATTTGTGTTTCTTTATCGAAATCGCTTTTACATAAAACTTTCTTGTTATTCGGAAAATAATGGAAATTACATCGAGATCGGTTTACTCTTGCGCTTGCAGTGTTGAGACAGACAGCGATTTAAAAGGAATCTTTTGAATAAATATGCGTGTTTAATTTGTTCGAAAAATATAAATAAGTATTTCTCGAGGACCATACTATTACCATACGCATATTGGCGAGTGCTTTTCGTTCTCACCGTTGTATATCTGACCGTCCGTTCGCCGACATTTAGCTGTTTCAAAATCCGCGCAATTCACTTTGCATAGCGGGATCGAGTGTTTTGTTTTTATCGCGACAAGAGCCTGGAAATCGCGATTATGACAAAAGGTCAAAACGCAACCGTTGGTGCAATAAATAAGCAACGAGAAGCTCGGGGAAAGTACTAAATTATTACGGTAGTCATAATAACACGTTTTTTTTCTTTAATATGAGTATTCGCAAACACTTAATTAAAACGTATTTATTTAAGACTAACGTAAGAGATTTGGTATTGACTCTGATAAATTGCGGCAAAATTAGCTTTCAAGCAGTACAAAATTTCTAAAGACAATTTTATACATAAACATATATATTAACATACACTGAGAGAAATGTTTTGTTGAAACAACCAAAATTTTGTTACTGACGCAAAAACTATTTGTTGATATGTGATCAAACAAACCGTTGGTTACCACGCATAATATTATTTTGTTGACTGTTTGGTATGATGTACAATAATCCTTTGTGATGAAAAATTGAATATTTTGTTACCGGAACAAAACATTACATGAGCGATAAGGAGAACGCACCCTTAGTTCTTCGCACGGCAAGCGTTAGGCGGACTGTCAGTTATTGCCTGTCGATCTACCTGTTCGTCCTTGTCAGTATTTATTTATTCTAGACACTGTATAATAACAAAGCAAGGGCAAAGAAGGACCTAATATCTAAAGTGACCGTTTAGGTTTTTGTGCGTTCTTTCTCTCCTCACATAACCTCACATAACCTTATTATGGATACAACAGTCAAAGATTTATTAAAAAAGTGGGAGTTTCCTGATCTCATACAACTGTTTGAGGGTAAGTAAAGACTTTTATTTCATCTATATTTATTTATCTTTATCTATATTTTACATACACAATGGCTAGTATTCTCATCTCAATTGTATCAATAAATCAATATAAAGTATTTATTTATTTCTGAAAATGAAATATATGTAACGTGAACTAAATGCTGAACGCATTTTGAAACAAGTAATCCTGTAACAGTAAATGACACAAACAATATCACATCTGAAACAGCTACTCGATCCTAATGTAATCGTAGAACGTGCAAGTGATGCTGAGATAATTGATACTGTATGTACAGGTTGACAATGTTAAAATAATTGTTGATAAGGAAAAGGGACTTGTTCAGTCAGATGAAGAGGAACATATCAAGCAGAAAGAAAACAAACATATGGAAATTGAAGTGTGCGAAATTGATGATTTTCAGCTTGCCAATGCTGTTCGTCATCTGGTACGTATTTATGTTTAGCATATCCTTTATATTTTATGTAAAACAATTTTATGTATGTAAAAATATAATTGCTATAGTTGAGCTGAAAGAGATATTTATTTCTTGTTATTCCAGAGTTTTGCTGATTTTGAACGTGATATTGAACGTCAAGGAAAGGAGCAGCTGCGTTAAATTTGACTCTGCAACCATTTATTATTTTCGTAGGATGTGACGCTAGCTCAGTTAACGTATACTACGTTTGCATCGATAAAACATTATACAAAATTGAAAGTGCTCTTAAAGCTGTCGACGTATGCTACAAGTGCTTTTTTGTTTGCATGCGTGCTATTGCGTGCTATCCTAAAGAATCTCAACAAATATGGCTTCTGATACAAAAATTATATAATATAATATGACAACTGAGCACGATGTATGCAATAGCAAAGTTACACATCTATCAAAATGACTTTAAGGAAGATGTAAAGAGATTATTTCTTTATTATTTTTTAAAAATATTTTTATTTTACGATAATGATTGATTGAAACAGCCGACTAAAACAGCCGACTATAAAATTACTTTTATATATAGATACGTTTTCCTTCGCGATTACGACAATCAAATTGATAATAAAAAATTGCTTTTTGCTACGATATTTTATCTTCACTGTAAAATACCTTATTATCTTATAAGTAAATATATTTTTTAATTAAAAAAGTGGAGAATGCCAATGTTGCATTAAATTTTATATTACTCTTCACATTTTTGCAAGTTCAAAAAAGTTTTCAATCTGCAAATATAGTATATTATTTCTTCAGAATAATTTACAGTATAATTAATTGCCGTCAATAAACTAAAAAGTTTATAAATTAAAAAAACTCAAATCTAATTGTAAGTAAATATTACTATATGTAACAATAAACTAAATAACAATTTTACTTATCTTGTTATTTGTTATATGATACTCATGATCCAGCATCATTATTCATAGCTGTCTAATTAAATCAAGCCTTTATTTATGATGTACTTATGATGTACTTATTACTTTAAGTGTGATAAAAAATTTTTAACAATATTCAGAATTTATTGACATTGGTCTCTTATAAATAAGTAAATCAATAAAACATTAAAGACGCTTTCACCTCGAAAGTTGGATTAATTCTCTGCCGACGATGCTCGTAAAATGATCTCTATCTTTCTCAACCGGAGGTCATGCAATATATCTAACATTTTTTTTACTTCGAGCAACACATTTATTCTATAATATATTCAATAATAGTGTTATATGTCCACTCACACGACTATAATATATCTCAGTACATGATTTAATCGTTAAAGCAAACTTATAAAAAATAAATTTAAAAACAAATTTAAATTTCTTTCTTAGAAAATATAAATATATATATCTATTAACCCTCCGTCTGACAACGTTATTTGGGATCTTTCGATTGACAACGTGGATCGGTAGATGTGTCGCCTTTGACGTTATTTCCCCATAACCTTAAAGTATTTTAAAAAATCTTAAACAATTCATAAAACATGTGTGTTAACATTGTAGATAACGTTTTTATATGTAGTCATTTTGATAAACATCGTTTATTTAATATTTCCTGCCGGGCTTGTAAATTTTACGAGCAGATGTTGTTTTGGCTCGAACGCTGGTGACTGTCAAACGGAGAGCTAAGAAATTGTTAGGTTAACTGCAGGTATCATACCGTTCCGTATTGCTTTGTAACTACGATCAAACTTTATAATTACTACAACCAAATGAGTAACCAAATGATATTGTTTAGTTAACTCAAAAAATTTACCAAATTTTGCTTGATCAACCAAAAAATCCTTCCATTTTGCTATCGTAACAAAATTATTTATTATCTGTGAACAACTATATTTTTTTGTTACCATTAGTATAACTTTTCTCTCAGTGTACACATATTTATACATAAACATATATGCAAATATTTTTCATAATTTTTAAAATTTTTGAACTTTTATAAATGTAAATTCGCAAATTTTAGCTCTTTTTAATTTACTTTAATATATAATCTATATTAATAACGTTACAAAATAAATATTAATGAAGAAACAGCGTCACGTCAAATTCTTGCTGATATTTGCACATGGCGATCAGAATTAATTTATCGTCAAATAAGTGCTGCTATTTCTCCAGAATGGCAAAGTAATTCTTACGTAGTCTCATCGTGAAAATAAATTTCCTCGCGCCTCTCGTAATTCATCTCCAGCATTCGAGATAATTGGATGCATAGAATCTAATTTGCATAGCGGAACATTCGTTTTTATCGCGCCAAGGGCGAGAGGCAATCAAAAAAGGTCGCATTATCATCGTAGAATCGTACGCTAAGTAAAGAATGGCTAAAAGCTTCGGGGTTTGCTGTCGTGCCCTCTTTCCTTTCGTTGAAAAATGAGACCTGTTTTCCCGTTCCTGCTGTCCCGCTCTAACGCGAGATCGCGCCGTAGCCGCCAGCTCATTCCCTTTCCTTTCCTTCCCTAGCTGTCGTTCAGATGCAAAAGTTTCGCAAGTACAAAAGGGCGCAGGAATAAAAAGTGCACGGGTAAAAGGACGACGACGGGATGATCCTCTCGTAGCTGCTCGAGACACAACGCGCGGCTCTGTGTGCACCGAGTGCACGACTGGCCATGCTTTTAATATTGCTTCATTTCAATGACGCTTACCATCACAATGCGGCACAAACCTCTCACTTTAGTCTTCGATCCCACTTTAATCTCCGAATATCCCAAGTTCTTATTAAGTATCCCGCCATTGTATCGCGATTATCTCGTGCCCGTTTTACCATATTGTTTGAATTTTCGTATTTTAATATCGCTGTCATCGTGATGTATTTAAATTAATTAAAATAATGGTTTATTATACACGTTATAATATAATTCAGTGATACAACTAAATCATATTATAGATTCGGAAATTGTATTGTCTTGGTATAGCTTATGCATTACTGTAAAGAAATCTTCTATAGGTATATGTGAAGCATTTTAACATGTATTATGATAACTAGCTGAGAATTTTTGTGTTAAAGTTCATATTTATCTCTTTATTTCCAAAGCTATGCTGCATTTAGGTGAATTTTCGTATCTCGTCACGTCATCGTATACTCAGGCACAGCGCAATCCTTTGCGCGGATGACTCATCGGACCGTACAGCGTCCCTCCTGCGAATAAACATTGCACTCGTGCGGATGCATACGAATTGCATCGCGCAAATTCAAAGCCTCGTCGCTTTAAGTGCGCCGACGAGAAGGCGGAAATGTATATATAGCGAAGATTGCCTTTACGATAATATCGAGACACGAATAACGAAATTAATGGTGAAAGATTTACGTAACGGCTGCGCGCCCTCGCAGGGATTCTTTAACTTTAACTTATATGATGCGACATGCGTGATACGTTATCATATAAAGGATCTGTTGCTAATCGGATATGTTGTTGCGAAATACAGATTAAGATATAATAGTAATAAAAGTTGCATGTTTGGGAAAGAAATCAGATAAATAAGCTGACTTATAAATTGAAATTAAAATTTATATTTTTCTGTTTTTAATAACATAAGTTTCTTCATTTTCTAATTACAGGTAAGCAAGTTTGCATCTATCCAGTTGTGTCGTTCATGTCAACATTTAGATACAAGACAAGATTTCATCAACAAATTTGATGAGCTAGTATCAAGGTATGCCTCATTTGGAAATTAGTTTATTCTTAATCTTTCTCTCTTATGTTTGATTTTGTCGTATTTTCCTGCTATCTTTATAAGAGGGAATAATGGGCCACGATACCTTTACATCTATTCTATTTATGAATAAACTTTGTTATTAATATAATATCTTTTATTTAGCTCATATCATTGGTCCATTATTCTCTCCTGTTGCATTGCATAAAACAAACTTAATATTTTAATAATCTGCTATCTTTAATTAAAAACTGTAATAAACTTTATTAAAACATTAAATACCGAGATAAAAAATGTATACTGTTATTTTTAAAAGATTACACACGTCACCGAAAATTAAAATCGGAAAGAGAGAAAGAGAAGGAAACCAATGCTATATGTTTCTTTGTAGGATTCTTAAATTTGCGATAAAGTTAGGCCGCCCGTATTTCTCGAGTGAAATATTTTTAATCAATTCAATTTTGGAATTATGCCTTTAAAATATCAAGATATGAAATTATATTACTAATATTACGGATATAAATAAAACATAAATAAAAACTTCTGATCAATTTTTTTGGAAGCAAAGCGCTATAATCTCGTCGCAACAGAGATCTCGCGCGTAAAGCTCCGCGGAGTATAAAGCACTCGACCTAGTCGGCACGTCGCATCGCATCGCATCGCATCGGATGATAACGTTAACTCTGGGTTCATGACGAGCGGGTAGAAACACACCGCCGCCGCGTGTGGTGGCCTCGCGGCTCCTTGACACGATACCACCGCTGCCACCACGATACGCCGCCCACGACATTAGCGAGCGGAGTGGAGCGCACTTCTCTCCCGCAGGAGGTCAAGAACAAAAAGAGAAAGATCTTACGTGCAATCTCCCCGTCTTCCCGTCTTACGACGTAGCAACACAGAGCTTGAGCGCTTTTCGCCTGATGGAATCGCGGCCAAGGGGCGACCGATCGATAGACGGCGACGAGCACCGCGCCGAATCCTCAACCGCGAAAAACCGACACCCCGATAAAATGAATGAGGAAACGTCGCCGGTTACAAATTGCAATGCGGCGCCGCTAAGCCACGTGCTAATGCACGCGCGCCTCGCTCCGACCACCTCCGTTTCGCGTGCGTCGCGAGATAAACCAGCTGATCAGCGTTGCTGATCTCAACGCTTCCTAATCATTCAGGATTCAATTTATCGAGATGCTATTTACTCGAGATCAAAGCGCCGACGCGTAGTAACTTCCAGTGAATTAGCTTTGGAAATGTCATCGAATAATTACCTTAATCTGCGAGCGTTAAGAAATGAGTTTTTAATTAAAATAAATATATAATAAATATTTGCAATTTTAAATAGATATAAAGTTTCAGCCAATTAAACATTCTGTTTGAGTTTTCTGCAATTGATCTGTGCTATTTACATTTAATACAAAACTAATTCTATATTTATTTTTATTTAATTAAATTCACGATGAATTTGATGTATATTACTTTTCAAAAGTGAAGGTATCGTGATATTTGAATTCTAAAATTGGTTTATCTGTAGTCTAAAGATTCGTGAAAAATTACACGGAGGTTGATGTGCAGGTATACAAAGGTGAAGCAAACGACTTGTTGTTGATCTATCCCCATCCCTGTACAAACACTGAACTTGTGCATGTCAATGTAACCGGCAATACAAAAATATCTCTTGTCTTTGATTATGAAAATACTTGAAACGAATTCATTTTATGAGCTCCGTCATTCGATGTTTTCATCTCGCTAAGCAAGCCAACACTTATCCCACTCTGTCGCGAGCAAGACTCGTTTCGATAACATGAGACTAGTAATTACGTTATTAACCGGCTGTGTTATAGAATCAAAATAAGAAATACCGCGCAGATTATCATGCGACGTAATCATACGTATTATTGTCACCTGTC